TGATCTTTATTTTTCCGCAATAGAAAAGGCTTTTGCATCTATTAGTAAGAATTTGGATGTATTAGGCTTATGTATTTCTACTTGATTAATGAAATTTTAGATTAAACTACAAAAAAAGTTAAGGTTACAAAAAATCTAATCTATATGAGGGTTATATTTTTTTAACCATGATAATCCTAAAATAACTAGATTGAAAAGAGGTCTTATTTTATTAAATATTACTACATTATTATAATCTTTTATATTACATCTAAAAAAACACTCTCAAGGATAATATCTCCAAAAGACAACAAATGACCATATGTGACTTTTACATGTATGAATTTAGTTTTCTTGACTAACAATATCTCTTATTTTTTGACAAAGTCTTTGTTTATAAAATAGAATGAAGCTCCTAAATCTAATAAGGCTAAGACTTTGTGACTTTTTGATCCTAAACAAATTTCTATTTTTAAATAAGATGAAGGATCTAAGAAGAAAATAAGACCTTTATCAAGTGTTCTAAAAGATATCAATTGCATAATTTCTATTGTACTTGAAGAAATTTATTTTTTGACAAATTGGCTTTAGTAATAAATTAATCTAGTGAGTCTACTCTTGATATTGTCAATAATAAGTCTTTGATATTATCTTTTAATCTATATCAAAACGAATTAATAAAGACTTTGTTATTCTATTCGATGTTGCAAGTAAGATTTTGAATTTAGCAGCAAATGTGATAATTGAATGTGATCCTTGACATAGCAATACAAGCTTAGTCTCTATTATTCTTTTTTTATCATTTTTTTCAAATGTACCTATAAATACTTTCAAGAATGAATTCAAATTATAGAATAATCATGAATCTTCTATTTATTATAGATGCAAACTAAGAGAGAATATTTCTTGATAGAAGTATGCCTATGAATCCTATTTGAGAAAATCCATCAAGGTATTGGAAAAGATGCAACCTTAAATAGAGCTTAACTTGTTGTAATAATCTTCAAAATTTTAATCTTGTTCCATCAAACTTCTCAAGCATACTAATCCTTACCTTCTTTGTGTTTGTAGAAGTAAGACTTCTTGAACTTAGTTGTGAGACTAGTCTACTTACTTTCTTAAACTGCACAATTTTTTAGCATAGACTCTAGACTTCTTCCATATGTGTAAGAATAATACCTCAATGATTCTCATAAAAAATATGTGAGATTTTTATTCTTAAGGTGTTAACAAACTCATGAAGATCTGTAATAGTTGCAAATCTATTCTTTCTTTTGTTGAGAGTAGTATCTAAAAATAAGATTAAGGTTTTCAAAGATATTGAAAAGTATAATAGGATATAAATAAGAAATTTGTACTGTTGATACATAAGGATAGATAGTTGGAGTCATGTTTGAGAAGTTTATAAAAGTTTCTAGAATTAAGGCTAGATCAGTGGACTATATAGGATCTACCATAGAATATTCAAGAAAGAGCTTAAGGTGGTTATTTAGGTAGAATCTATCATTAAAAATATTTTAGAAATTTCCAAGATGATTGGGCAAAGTTTAAATAGGACATGTCAAGATCATTTGGATATTTGGTTAGGTATGCATTCAGACCTTTTTTCTTAGTAAAGTTTGATTTTCCTATTCAATTTTTTTTTTTATTTTTTGTTTTTTGTTTTTTGATTTTTTTTTTTTTTTTTGTCTACTATGACATACATTGCAATGGAATTCATGTTGCTGTGGATTAGAAGGATCTTAAATTTTTGAGATAGTCTAATTCCATTTCAACAAGAGTGAAAAAGACTTCACTCTTCCCTTCATATATACTATGTATTTAAGAGCTATGTGGTGATATTTTATAGGACCTCCAAAATGTATTGAATTTGCAAGACACATATCTTAACTTGTAAGACAAGTTTTCTATATGTGCGCTACATAGTTAGCTTGTTTTGCAAGCTACTAACATGATTGGTACATGATTATCTTCTTAACCAAGTTTTCAACCTATCAATCAATTACAAATACATGTAAAATCAAAGTAGCATCTATGAAGCTTCTAAGAAGTTTTTTAGAATATATTATGAAATAAATGTATTTTTACCTAGTTCTATTTAATCATATAGGTAAATATTGGAATAAATGTGTATGTCCATGATCAATGAAGGATTTTTTTTTTTTTTTTTTTTTTTTTTTTTTAACAGCTTTTATAAGAGGTTTTATCTATCATTTATTTTTTTTCAAAGTTTTAAGATTACATAAATTTTATTTTCTTAAATATTAAAATACATCATTTGATTCTAAATAGAATTATTTTATTGATGAAATGGTATATGTTCCAATATTATTTTTTTATTTTTTCGGTGCTTAATCATGCATGTCCAAGTCATATATCATTTTTTTTTATTATAACATCTTTTAATATATTTTATTATTCTTATATTTGAGTTGAGAACAATGTTATAATGATACATAATTCTTTGAATGCATCAATTAATAGAAGATGGTTACTATTCATAAGATTCTTAAATCATATTTATATGATATTACTAAAATAAAATAATAGATATTTCATGTCATTTTTTAATCTTTGATTTTAAATAATTAACGTCTATTTTATCAATAAAGATTTTGGAAACATAACTTCTACAATTTTTACTTAAGTAAAAATTGTGAGTGGCTTAATTTATTATTATTATCATTATTGTTTAAATAAAATTATTATTATTTCTTTCATATTTTTTACTACTAAGTCATGCTAGAATTTTATTTTAAAATTTTAATATCTAAATATTGCAAATACTTTTGTAATCCTATTTTTATTGTAGGATAAATTTTAGGATTATATTTTATATTTAAATAATATTTTATCCAATTAAAATTAATAATTTAATAATTTTATTATTATTAATCTATAATAGGATTTTTTAACTTAATATTTTTTCCGCCTATCTTTAGATTCTAATATAAGATAAAATTTTAATTTATAAATTTTAACCATTATTCTATGATGTGTTGATTTCTCTACATAACTTTTATATATTCTAATAATGAATTTGTGTTTAACATCTTAAGATGCCTTCAAATTCAACCAATTCACTTACTAATAATTTATAAATAATTTATTATCAAAACTAACCTTATATTAAGTTACCAATATTGTAAAATTTTCAACAAGACATCCTCCAGAATGATACTATAAATAAATACATCATGACAAGATTTCATCTACAACCATCTACTTGGATTTTTTACAAGCCATTGTTGCTTGTTATTTTAAGCTAATATTTAAGGCAATATATAATTTTTAGTTAATGCATGATAAAAAAAAATTCAATTTTATGTAAAATATTTGTAAAATTTAAAAAGATCAAATATTAATTTGAAAGGTTGGTGCCATTGATTGATAAAAACATATTAAAACCACAAGGCTAAGAATTCAAATCTTCGTGGTAGTAGAACCAAATATAGGTTGTACATGTTGGAAATTAGGATTAGGCATGGCATGAACACTAGTTTCTGGAAATCCTTTTCCTAACCCATTTAAGGAAAGTTCCACGGTAGCCGTCGTCAGCCGCTTCCCAGCACGTAGAATCTCAGTAAAAAAAGAAAAAATGGTTTTTTGCGTTGTGGATTTGTATCCAAGTTGCACTTCGCATCTAAAGATTCGGCTGTGGATCCGGACGAGGACTGCGTCCCATCCTGTGCCACTGTCACCTAGCGGGACCCACGCCAATGAGCCGGAACTGGATGTGAGGGCGGCACGGTAGCTTAGGAGAAAGTGTCGGACACGAGCGCTGGAAGACTGCCTTAAATTGAAACTCAATTATTTACTCTCCTGCTTGATCCCCATTAAGCCTGGTTCTAGGTCGTCATGCAACCGATTCACGACAACGTAAGTCAGACACATGGATAAACCCTTCAGAGTTTAGTTGGTCGCAATCACAAAATTCAGATTGATTTCTGAAACTACACTTTTGAACTCAATCGGATCTGTAGGGGAAAGGTAAACCAGTTAGAGGAGTTCTGCAGGAGGTAACTGAATGTCGACATCACTCAAGATCACTCGTTCAAGAAGGAGCGTGGGCATCATGACAATGAAAAGGATTCCAGGACCTGCTGCGAGATTCGCAGGTGTGATAGCATGAATCCAGATTGCAGCTCAACGAACCTAAATGACCATCAGCCTACTGAGACAATTCGAAGAAACCTGATACCTTCAAAACAACACAACCTGGAGAAGGTGAAATTCTGCGAGCCCGCCCAAACGTGATACTATTTTGGGGGGCTTTTGATTGGCTCAGAAAACCTCTATCTGTTACTCTGCAAGCCGATTTGATTTTAGGTGAGTATCTCAATAACACGACGTAGTCAAAACACTTGCTTCAGATTATTATTCATATATATATATATATATATATATACATATATATATATATAGCAGTAAAAGAAAATTTTCAAAATTTATTTACCCTTTGGTATCGTAAAACTCAGAAATGGGATAGCCCTCTGGACAGGCTGGCGCATAATCTGAGTTGTGAATATTTTCCTATCAAGCAAAAGAAAACAATGCACAGTATCGAATGATAGAACAGAAAGTTCTGGCGAAAGATTAAACTCGGCATGAATTAAAAAAGAAGCTGAAAAAAAAAAAAAAACAAAAAGTTGGCAAGCAAATAAATTTGTATTTACACAATTGTCGTTCCAATATTCTCACCCATCTATAATTTCTTTGTGTCATTTGTCCTTGATCATGGTTTACACTTCCAAAGGAAAGGCGATCAACATCCAAGCAATCACATATTCTACATATTATACACGTTTTAGAATTTTCTAAGGTTGTAAGGCGGCGTAAATTTTAATACGGAGTTGTTTACGCAACGTCATTTCTCGGCAGCGAGTTGTACTGTAGCGGAGTGATTCTCAATTTCCGGGAACTTAGCTTAAGCAAGATCCCCGCGCTTTCTGTCATTCGTCGAGTTCAGGAGAGTTGAAGGTTAACCGACTTATTTTATAATATTGTATTCAAAGTGAGATCTTTTTTATCTGACATGCCGACCCAAATGTGTCGTCTGGATCCCGGGCTGTTTGTATTACAGTCACTCTTGCACCGTGCTTGGTGTACTAGTTTTGGTTTTGTAAAACCTAGACGTGTGTTTTGTGCAATCAAGAAACTTGGAAGCTGCATCTTGAACAGTGCTTGCACTACGCATCCTCCACCAGAAACTAGCCAATCTCGGCGAGCATTTGATTCGTCTGATCGAAGACTGCGTTTGAATCGACCCCGATTTGCACCGTGAATTCTAGGTATGGTATTTTTTTGCACTAACTTCTGAAGCTATTCTAACTCAAGGTTCATAGATGCAATGGGTGAATGAATCAGCCTCTCTTCTTGGAGCTTGTGCGAAGTCAAACACAGGTGGTCAGTCTTACATGTTGCAGAGGCACAAAACCCGCCTCTTTTGACCTAGTTGTTTCGATTTCGATCTAGCAGACATCCGTGACGTGAAGGTCACACTAGATCGCAGTTTTCTAATCGCAATGAAGAATCTCGGAGTCATTGGTGTAGTATATGGCCTGATGGCGTTGGCAACTCTCCAAGTCGCAAGCGCTTGGTGTCCATTTGCCGGGAGGCGTAGCTTGCTTCAAGCAGCAGCTCCGGCACCTCTACCCGCGCGTCCTACTGGACCAGACCCTTCCAACTGGACAATGTTGAATTACGATTTCTACACGGCCGGGCTTCCAGAAAATGCATGTCCCAGTTTTCAGAATATTGTAAAGAAAGAAGTGGCTAAAGCCACAGTATTGGATTCACTCACTCCGGCATTTTTGCTTCGTTTGTTCTTCCACGACTGCTTCGTAATGGGATGTGACGCATCTGTTCTTATCAACTCGACTCTCCTCAATTTAGCAGAGAAGGATCAAACCAAAAGTTTTTCCCTAAACAAGTTTAATGTTGTCGACGACATCAAGACCGCCTTGGAGGTTGCGTGTCCTGGTGTAGTGTCATGTGCTGATATTTTGGCTGCCGCAGCTGTGGAATGTGTAGAACAGGTATTCTTCACTCCTCTATGTGGCCAGTGCGCAGTTGGGTCTGGGTCCAATTTTTATTTTCTTTCCGTAGTTGCATATCTTGAAACGCTTACCGTGCATTGATGGTCTTCATCTCTGGATTGTCCTGGAACAGTCGGGAGGGCCTCACATTGATTTGGCGTACGGCCGACGAGATGGTCTGGAATCCTTCGCGGCCGCTGCGGCGACCTATATGCCAGGGGGGTTTCTTCGCGTGCAAGGGCTCATTGAAAGTTTCCAGATGGCCGGATTGGATGAAGTCGATTTGGTTGCTTTATCAGGTTCACTCTCAATACTAGCCCTATCGAAATCTGTCATTACTTCACATCTTACACACTCAGTGATTTTTTTCTCTTTCTTTCTTTTGTTTTTGTTTTTGTTTTTACTTTTTTTTAATGTGCCAATCGTAACTTGTGCGACGCTTTAACTCTTCACAGGAGCCCACACCCTCGGCCAGGCCCGCTGTTCAGAATTCATTCAAGAAAGATTCATATCCCCAGGAAGCAACAGCTTCAGAGACTCTGATTACGGCCTAGCTTTGCAATCGTATTGCGCAGAGGGAAAAAATTTGGGGTTGGACCGCAAAGTGACGCTTGATTCGAACACCTCCACCATTTTTGACAACGGCTACTTTCAGACCTTAGTCGATGGTCGTGGCGTCTTGACATCGGACAATGATTTGACACTCGACAATCGTACCGCACCGCTCGTGCAACTTTACGCTAGTGATCAGAATGCGTTCTTCACCGCTTTCGCAGCGTCAATGAGAAAGATGAGCAAGATTGGCATTCTGACAGGCACACAGGGCCAAGTTCGGAAGAAGTGCTATGTCCGCAACAGCGTTGACGTAGTCAAAAGCCCTAACAGCAACACCGAGTTTAGTCCCATCTCTCCCACTATATGTAAGCCTGCACCCCAGGTCGACCAGAAGTGCGACGGTACGTGATCGATGCACCGATCCACCCACCCACCTACTCACCCACTCAATCACTTGGGTCAATCAAGTCACAAGTTGCCGGGATCGAGTATTGTAAGACATCCAGACATTATTTCTTCTCCCCACTTGTAATATAACACACGGTTTTCTAGAGCACAAGTGATTGTAGATTTGTCGCACTCTTTTGATCCCAGTAACCGATCGGATCATCTCTTTTCTCGCATGAGAGTGTCCGTGTGTTGCCTTTGATTCACAGTATCGTAATGAGCATTCTCAAGGACTGCACCCCAGCAGCATTCGGAACCCCTTCCTCCTCCTCACAGTCCTGTCTGTGGTGCCCCCCCCTCCCCCCATTGTGACGAAATCCCATTGCTACAAACAGTCTCAGCTCAATGGAGCAGAATTCTCGTCGCCGTACCGATATTTTCTTCTCGTCGCGGATTTCAAACCCCCCTTCGGCGTCGGCCCACTTGCATCGTTCTGTTCGCTACGGCTAATCGGCACCGTCCATCAGGGAGATGCACATCTGCCGCACATCCTCAATTCGATGAACGGATGTGGATGAATGTTGTATTTTATGGTCGGCAATTGGATGTAGATGACGAATGGTTGTCCTCGTGATTGTTGAGGGTTTAGCATTTTGTGTCAACACCCCAAAAATAGTTTCTAAATTGAGATTTGTTTTTTATTATATTTCTTAATTTTTAACCTATTTCTGAAGATTGCAAGAGTGTTTTGATTGCTCCCTCACTTTACTTTACGAATTGTTATTGGTTGAATTTCTTCGTACTCTTGATTCCAGTTTTTGTTTTTTTTCTATTTTTTATTTGCTATTTTTAAGTAAAGGGGATTGTTAAATACACCCAGGCTTTTACTAAATTGACCCACCCATACTACCCATCATAAAATAAAATAAATTACCACTATATTCATTTCTCCATTGTTAGATCTGAAACCAATGAAAAACAATCACATTCATCATGATTACCACCATGTGTTTCATCATGGGTAGGTCTATTTGATAAAATCTTGGGTCTACTTAACATTCCTTGAAAAAGTGTTTATATTTTGTAACATCTTTAATTTACTGCACATTTTTAATTGAGGCTTTTGTTCATGCGTTCTATATCATGCTGCATTAAAGTTCAAGCACCAACTTGCGGCTAAGTGAATTTCAGGCCTTTGTGGTACATTTAATTATATTATACTTCAATTTTAGTCGATTATCAATTATTTCCCCCCTAAATGCACGACAATTAACTACAAATCTAAACTGCAACTTAGTACAGAAATTATCAATTATTCATCGTCATTTTGTAACGAGAATTTTGTGTAATTTGTTCATTTTAAACAGATTTCAAGAGCACAGAATATTAGGTACCGATGCTTTGCACCCCGAACATAAACTAAATATGATTTTTAAATCATTCTATATATATATATATATATATATATATAAACGTTTTCAATAAATACAACTGATGATGCCTAAAACCCAAGTAGCCACTACTTGATATTGATACCAATTTACATGTGTTTACTTAAACAACGTTAGCAGTATCATATTCTAAACGATGAACATAAACTAGTATAATACAATTGTAGCATATGAAGAGAAGAAATTAAAGTCAATATCACATACATTATAGACTTTTGAACACTAAAATAAATAAAAATCGTTAAAAGATAGTGTCATAATTTTTTTCATGTATTAGTAAGAAATAAAATGTTATTTTTACTCCATAGTCTTATCTATATTTAACATTTTCTCGTATATATTCTTCCCTATTCACACTGAATAATAAAGATCACACTGAAACATGAGTAAAACAGGTGCGTCCGGTTTGGATGAACGAAAAGATAACGTAGATGGATGATACGGAACCCAAATGGGATGGAAACCTAATCGGGCTATAATGCTTGGCACAAACCCTAAGGGGGTCCTTTTTCCTTTGGTTTCCGAACTACGTTCCTTGACGCCACAGCGGAGCGGGGCGTGCCGATCTGCAGCCATGCAGATCTTCGTGAAGACCCGTGAGTTGATTGTTTGTCGATTATTTTGATCAACTTGGCTACTGCGTTGTATTTTATTTGTTTTGTTTCTTGAGTGAACTCTGACATCCGTGTATATGGTTGAGATTGCGGCGCTGATGCGAGCGCTCGTGTTTCTGTGATTTATTCAGTGACGGGCAAGACTATCACCCTCGAGGTGGAGTCTTCTGATACCATCGACAATGTGAAGACGAAAATCCAGGACAAGGAGGGAATTCCCCCCGACCAGCAGCGGTTGATCTTCGCCGGAAAGCAGCTCGAGGATGGACGTACCCTGGCTGACTACAACATCCAGAAGGAGTCGACCCTGCACCTGGTGCTTCGCCTGCGAGGTGGAGCGAAGAAGAGGAAGAAAAAAACCTACACGAAGCCGAAGAAACTGAAACACAAGAAGAAGAAAGTGAAGCTCGCTGTGTTGCAGTTTTACAAAGTGGATGACTCCGGTAAGGTGCAGCGGCTGCGGAAGGAGTGCCCTAACCCTGATTGCGGGGCGGGTACGTTCATGGCGAACCATTTCGACCGACACTACTGTGGGAAGTGTGGTCTGACCTACGTGTACCAGAAGGCCGAGGCTTAAGTGGGCCTGGTGGATACATCATATGTAGATGCTAATCAGAGGCACTATTTCCTTAACGTGCGTTGTGAGTGTTTAGACCGTTTGGAATGAAGTTTGATTCTGTCATTTGAGGGCACCCCAACGCTTGTTAAACCTTCAGTGGTAATGATGGAAATGTTCTGAAATGTGAGTGTATGAATCGTTTTAGATAGTGTACACACTTGACTACGATTGTAGTCGTTCCTTTTCAGATGTACATCTATCGGTTCTTGGCTGCGTAGGGTTCCGCTTTTCTCGATTGTTCCGAATTGCCAACGTATGCATCTGTTAAAATAGTTTAACGATCATCAACTTTAACCGGTTATTTTTGACATCGAAGTTACTCCACTTAGAGCTCTCCTAACACTGACAGCCATGTGAATCTGCACTGTTCACAGTAGCCACAACCCACTCTACTTGGAAAATTTGGAAATATCGTCTGCTTGAGCGATCAACTATCCGATGACGTTTGAGACGTGTTGAGCTTAGATGATGGGTTTCGCTTCTGAATTGCGATGGATGTATCCAAGTAGGCTGAATGCGGTTTTGCATTGTTAAGCAGTGAACCGTAATAGATTGAGATGTTTCATTTTAACTAATTCGCGTGCAGCCTGTCTTTGAGTGCCTGTACATTACAATCGAATAGTATGTGAAGGAACATGTTTTTGATGACGTATCAGATTGAATGTGATCGGAATGTAATTGTGCGCTGTAGCCCTCTTCAAACAATGCTACATCATAAGTTGTGTTTGTTTGGAAACAAACGATCATGTTGTTTAGGGAAAGTAAATGCGGAACTCTACGCCGCTCATTACATCTACTCACAGTGGTATTCTGTCCAAACTACCGTTCCATTTGGTTTTCTGAATTTCTTCTAAAGATTTTCTGATAACTCGCTGGATCTTAAAGCTTAAATTCTTAGCATTCCATACGTTTTTCTTCAGGAATTATTAAAGTAAATTCAGACTCACAGGATGGGGCTGTACCCATGATGTCTTTGAACTTGGAATTCCGTAACATTCCGTACTGTTGAAGTAGCTTGACTAGATCTGAAAGTCGGTGAACTAATAAATTACTATATTTAATAGCACAAAGTTGAGGATCGGTCTTTGTATGCTACGTTGTTCTCACGGTTGATGACGATATATGAGTTGCTGAGTTCTAAATGTGAGGTGTTAGACATAATCTTGCAAGCTTCAAAAGATGAATTCTTTAAGTGATTTGCTATCCATTCATCAAATTGTTTTCCATGATTTGCAACAATTGATTATATGATTATGGTTGATTAATCACAGTTATCTTACTTAATGGCAAGTAATGAATGAATAATTTGTCAAGTGTACAAGGAAGTTTTGTTTATATATTTTTATTATGATTAAAAATGATCTTTTGTATTAAAAATACTAATTTAATATTATAAATATTTTTATTGAAATGATGTATTTCAAATTATTTTAATTATTATTCTTTGTAAGTTTTTGTTTTAGATAAATTTTAGCTTTTATCCAACCAACATTGTATTCATGTTAACTATCATCTAAAATAGGGAGTTGTAAAAGCCACACCTTCCAAATCATGTGATGATTAATTTTGGAAGATAGGAAACAATGGATGGAGATAGGAAATAAGGCATATGGATTGGAAATGAGAGATAGAGGATATGGAACAAGGGACAAAGATGGAGATGGACAAAATTGATTGTGAGATGGTAATGTAAGGTGTGGCTTTAACAACTTCTTTAAAATATTGTAGGAATTAAAATTTATTATATTTTAAATTTACTTTAAAGATCCTTTATCTTGGCGTTGCCTTGAATCTAAGACTTATCATACTTCAAACTCTTTATTATGTCCACTTCTATAGGAGGAGGTAGAATTTGTCTTCTTCTTGGTATGTCCACTATCTTGTATGGTTCAAGAAGAGATACATGGAATACTAGATGGATTTTTATTGACTCCAATAGGTGTAAATAATTGTTAAGGACAAGAACATGATAAAGAAAAATAAACAAGTGAGACTTCTCTCAAAGAAAGATGATAAAATAGAAATAACTTAATATGTATATTAAGAAAGAAACTGGAATGACTATTCCTAAAAGTTAGAAAAACTAGAGACCCTTGAAACTAAATTGGAAGCAAGAAAGGAGTTGATAAGAGTGAAGAAGGCTTCACTCTTGTCTCTATATATACTATCTTACTAGGGGCTATGTGGTGACGTTCTATAGGACCTCTAATATGTGTTGACTTTGTAGGACACTTGCCTTGACTTACAAGGCAAGTTTTTCTATGTGTGGGCCATATAGTTAGCTTGGTCTTCAAGCTAACAACATGTGTGGCACATGGCCAACTTGTTCACCACGTTTTTAATCCCAAAAAGTCAATAAAAGACACCTATAAAGTCAAAGAAGTGTCTATGAAGCTTTTAGAAAGCTTCCATAGAAGATATTATAGAATTAACTTATTTTTATGTACTTTTACTTACTTCTACCTATTTATAAATATAATTACTGGCTTACATGCATATGTTCATAACATTATCTTCCCTTCTAAGGGCGAGTTCCACAAGGAGCGGTAATCATATGTTGATGAAATCTATGATGTGACGAATTATATTCGCCAAACACTCTGATCTTTGTTCTCTTCGAAGATGATTGATAGGGCCTCTCAACTATCGGTAGTATCCTATACTAGGGCAGGAAGACCACCCGATTATTTGATCATTGTTGAGGCCTTCATAACTTCCTTCGAATAAAACATTTAGAACACCATCAGGAGTTGTTCCTACCTCTAGTAAAATCACCAAACATCGGGAGTCCCTTCTAAGGTCGTGATATCAAACGCGTTGTATCTCACCATCTATTCGAGGAAGAACATGTCGTTCTTGAAGATCTTCATCTCGATTACATCGTCTTGAAGTTGTGACAATGGTAATATCTCATTCTGCAAGTCAACAAACACAGGCTCTTGAGTCAAATCCACTGGTTGTTGGTTCTCCATCTTGTAAGCATCACAACTACAAAGAAGTTACAAACAAGGATTGAAAGTAGAATGTTATCTTGCCTAGATCTTGTTTCTTTTATAAAGAAGGTTTTTATCTTGATTTTGATGGATGTCGTTGATGAAAAGCCTCCATCGCCTTTGCTGCATTTATAAGATTTTTTATTGGCTCCCATGTGTGTTCACTAATATCATATCCACACTAATAGATAAGATATTCTAATTTATTTTGGCGCCGCCTTGAATCTAAAACTTCTTCCACTTCAAACTCTTCATTATTGTCCACTTCTATAGGAGGAGGTAGAACTTGTCTTCTTCTTGGTATGTCCACTGTCTTGTATGATTGAAGAAGAGACACGTGGAATACTGGATGGATTTTCATTGACTCTGGTAGATGTAAACGATATGCAACTGGATTGATTTGTGCAGAAATAGAAAATGGTTCAAGCCTTCTATAGTCCAATTTGTCACAAGGACGAGTGGTCTTGATATTACGACAAAGTAACCATACCTTATCACCCATGTGAAATGGTAGTTGTTCCTTTCGATAGACATTTGCATTGACCTTTTGTTGTTCTTGAGATTCTTTTAACTACGCCTTTATCGTTGCATGTAGCTCTGACAAATGAATTACCAAATCTTTTGTAGCAGGATTATTAACTTTTGAAAAGTAAAAAATATCAAGTCTTGGATGATAACCATTATTGATAAAGAAAGGTGTTTGTTTTGTAGAAGAATGTATCCTATTATTGTAAGTAAATTTTGCCAATGACAAAAAAATTGTCCAATCATCTTGTTGGTAGTTAATGGTACATCTTAAATACTGCTCCAAAACTTGATTAACACGCTCTCTTTGTCCATCAGTTTGAGGATAGAATTTTGAAGATAATTTTATATCCACTTTTAGAATCATGAAAAGAATCTGTGAAAATCTTGATACAAATTGAGTTCTCCTATTTGATATAATATCTTTGGATAATCCATGATAGCGATAGATATTGTCAAGAAAGACCTTAGCTGTTTCTTCACCTATGATAGATTTTGTACATGGTACAAAATGTGCCATCTTGGTAAAACGATCCATTATCACGAATATAGAGTCATAAGAACATGAGATTGGAAGATCCATGATGAAATCCATAGAAATAGAAGACCATGGTTGTTTTGAAATGGGTAATGGCTGAAGAGGTCCATAAGTTCGATGACAAGGAGTTTTAGATCTTGAGCAAATATCACAATATTTTACAAAATCTTTGACTGTTTTTCACATTTGTGGCCACCAAAAGTCCTTGGATATTGGTTCCAAATTTGTTTTGTATCTAAAATGTCATGTTGCTGAAAAGTCATGACAAGCTTGAAGAACACCTAATCGAGCTTCATCTTCTAGAACATATAGGCGTCCTTCAAAATATAGTAGATTCTTCTTGAATTCAAACTTGGAAGTATCATGAGACTTTGAAGGATTTTCCTTGATATCACGAATAAGAGGATCAGAAGACATACTTGACTGAACTTGCTTAATGAAAGTTGAATCAACAGATAGTGTTGATTTCATTGCTCAAAGATAAAGATGCTCTAGCTTCAAGAGAATTATTCGTTGTTGATAAAAAGTAGCATCTCTTTCCTTTGGTGCAAGGTAAGATTGTCTAGAGAGTGCATCTGACAAACCTTGTTGTTTTTTTAGTCGATAAGTGAACTTGAATTCGAATCTTGACAAAGACATACTCCAACGAGCTTGGCGATGATTTAAAACACGTGCTAACATAAAATATTCAAGGTTCTTGTGATCCGTATATAGTGTGATTGGACTAAAAGTACCTTCTAGATTATGGTGCCATTCTTGAAATGAATCCATGATTGCAAGAAGTTCTTTGTCGTGGATCTCGTAGTTGATCTCGGCTGCTGAAATTTTTTTGGAATGAAAAGCTATTGGATGAAATTTATTATCTATTTCCATTTGTGACAATATGACACCCAAAGCAAAGTTTGATGCGTTTGTTTCTATTAAAAATGGCTTAAAAAAATCAACGCGATATAAGATTGGTGCAGAAACAAAGGCTGTCTTCATAGCTTCAAATGCTACTTCTGCTTCTTGATTCCATCGAAGTTTGTCTTTGTAAGTCAAACGTGTAAGTGGAGCTGCAACTTGAGAGAATTTTTTGATGAAGATCC